AGGTCAGGAGAACCCCCAGAACAGCACATGTGTGATGGCCTGGGATTTCGATTCGGAGGATGAAACAGAGGAATCCCGGCCTGCACAGGAGTCCCCGCCTCCAGGGCCGGCTGAACTGGGGCAAGGCCTTGATGCTGAAGAGCCTGCACCTGTGGCAGTGCATCAGGAGCTGGCCCCAGGTGAAGCCCTTCGGGCCCCAGAGGGGCTTGATGACTCAGTGGCCACAGGTGAGCCTCCTCCAGGGCCCAGTAACCCTTCGGCCTCTCCTGATCTGCAGAGGCTTAGGGCAGAGAGGCGAAGGGAACTGGTTGCCCCCAGGAGGAGTGCTCGCCTTAAGGCCAGAGGAGGCGGGGCTCCTGGGGACCGGGACCGCCCTGGCCTTAGAAGAGGATAAAGCCCAGTCAGCCCGGCCCCAGGTTGCGGGAGCAACGTCGTTGTTGGCTCGGACCTTCCTGTGTTCCTGATCCCTGCTCGGCTTCCTGTTCCTGACTATCCGGTGCTCCTGTTCCCTGCTCGGCCTCCTGTTCCCGACCATCCGGTGTTCCTGTTCCCTGCACAGCCTCCTGTTCCAGCACTCCTGTTCCCCGCCCGGCTCTCTGCCTCGGACCTTGCCCCTCTTCGTGTGGACTCTGCTACACCCAAGGTACCTTACCCCCGGGACCAGCACAACATGGGGGAAAGAGTGGGGGTGGGATAATTCCACCTGTCAAGCCAAAATGCTTGCGCAGGCAGAACCCTCGAGACGGCGCATCACTGAAGGAAGCTTCACAGTTTTGAGAAATCGTGCGAGAGGAAAACCCAACACGCACCGCAACTCAATAAACACCGCGAAGTGTGCTTCTATATTTGGTCAGGACATTCCGTTAATTAATCCTCTTTGCTATTAGTGGAAGCAAACACTTCAGCTGGACAAGACGGCTGGCAAAAATCTCATTTAGGGATCAAGGCAGACTTAATTGGGCTTCAGCAAGACCTGGGCAAGGAAGGGTTATTCGGCAAATAAGAATTGCTAATCTGTCATTAGATGCTCCAGGGCGCCCCTCTGCAGGAGGAAGCGACTATAAATTTAATACTTTCAGAACGAGACAAAGCTTTTCTCGGGTCCTCCAATGCAACCAGAATCACCATGTAAACCAAACGAGGAGAAATCAAACCCTTTGGAAACTTTCCAAGGTTAAGCAAATAGGTCCCTTTCAGAAGTGTTGTCCGTGGCTTGTTTAAATGAGCATTTCTATCCCATAATAGATGCAGGATAGTCTTGCTTCAGGCATGCTCAGCTTCCACCCAAGGAGAAAGTAGCATATGGGCAAGACTGCTTTCATCCATGAATCTATACCTAAACAGTACAGGTAGAGGGAATACCTGAGAAAATAGAAAACTGGTAGCACTTTAAGGTATTAATTTCAATTTCTAGCCAACCCTACATGCCCGGGCAAGCTTACAATGCAAATTGCGAGCCACAAAAAACACAGGGCAGAGACCAAACGTGAAGACTAAGCATCAAATAAAAACCCAGAACAATATTTCTGATAAAAATTGGAGACAATCCGTTATCTCCAGCTGACCACAATTTGAATCGTGCCACAGTAAAGGCCTGGGCAAAGAAAGGAAAGTCTTCAACTGGCACCAGTAAGTAAAAAAAATACAGTGGTACCTCAGGTTACATACGCTTCAGGTTACATATGCTTCAGGTTACAGACTCCGCTAACTCAGAAATATTGCCTCGGGTTAAGTATTTTGCTTCAGGATGAGAACAGAAATCGTGTTCCGGCGGCGCTGCAGCAGCAGGAGGTCCCATTAGCTAAAGTGGTGCTTCAGGTTAAGAACAGTTTCAGGTTAAGAACAGACCTCCAGAACGAATTAAGTACTTAACCCGAGGTACCACTGTAGTAACAATGGCACTGATTGTAACTCAGAAGGGAGGCCATTCTATATAACCAAGATGCCAACACAGAACAGGCCCTGTTCTATGACACCTTGCAACAGCCTCAATCATTGTTAACTCAGGGTTGGAGCCAATAAAGTCGCCCCAGTTCTGCAAGGACTTCTGCTGACACAAGAGGACTCTCCATTGACCCCCTCCAAAAAAAAAAAATTTGCAGGACAGATCTGGGATGATGCACAGAGCAGGAGGGCAAGTCCCGTGGTGCAAGTGGAGGTCTTTGCACAATCAGGGCGACTTCACTGCATACAAACCTCGGTTCATATTGCAGGCCAAACTCTAGAGAACCGAGGCTCACTTGGTTGTGTGGGAGACAGTTGAAGAAAACCTCTTTGCTTCAGTCAGATGCCTTTTGGCTGAAAATACCGCTTGAAAATGTGGCCCTCTCAAATGCATGGAGTTCAGTTATTTTCAAAAAAATACCCCCACAACCTTTGCTTGAGGAATGTACACACAGGATTAGACGCTGACCTCCAACCACAGAGCCTGTTTGGCTTTCAAATCCAAACACAAGCATATGAACACCTGGTATGCAAATCTCTCATGCAAACTTTTCTTTCAATACACACACATCACAGGGCACACATTCAAAATGCACAGAGTTTTTCCATAGTCCTCTGGGATTTATGCAGTTTAAGCCGCCCTCAATAATACAGTTTATCGGAGCCTGAAATAGGCAAGATCAGCTTTTCATATTCAAAACCTTCCCCCTTGGGCTCAAGGAATGCAAACATGGCTCATTAACCCTTAAAGGATCAATGTATCTATATATTGCCGTCTTTGAAGCTTGTTTTCTCTTGCTCCAGAGGGCTGGACCCAAACCAATGGATTCAAGTTACAAGGAAGGAGATTCCGACAAGAAAACGGGAAGAACTTTCTGACAGTAGGAGCTGTTTGACAGTGGACCGGACTCCCTTGGAACGTGGCAGACTCTCCTTCACTGGATGTTTTTAAGCAGAGGTTGGACAGCCATCTGTCAGGGATGCTTTAACTGAGATTCCTGAATTGCAGGGGTTGGACTAGATGACCCTCAGGGTCTTTTTTCCACTCTACAATTCTATGATTCAATTAATAACCTTTTATGGTACTAGATATGGGCAGTACAGTGGTACTTCTACGTGTGTTGACCTCCAGTTAAGTATCCTTCGGGATACGTACGCAGCAAACCCGGAAGTATTTTTCTGGGTTTCACCATGCGCGCATGCACAGAAGTGCGCTACGCACTGTGCGCATGTGCAGAAGCGTTAAACCATGCCGTGCACATGCGCAGAAGCAGCACCTCCGGTTGTGAATTCCTTGGGATGCGACCGGAGCTCCGGAACGGATCCCGTTTGCAACCGGAGGTACCACTGTATTAGAAAATAATATTTGGCCAATATCATCATCATCATCAGATTTGTATGCCACCTTTCCACAGTTAAAACAATGCTCAAGGCGGCTTACAATATGACTTCCGTGGGCGACAGCAGCAGCAGTTCTCATAATCCAAATTTCAAACACAGGAACAAAGGTTCTTGCATTAATTTGGTTTTCTATTCTCCATGAGACCCCCAGGTATAGGGCAGTATATAAATTCAATTATTATTATTATTATTATTATTATTATTATTATTATTTTACAAGGCCCTTAACCGATCTGGGTCCAGGATCCCTCAAAGACCTCTTGATCCCTTATCTCCCTGCCTGTTCTTTTGCCAGGCTTTATTTATTTAATTAATTGCATTTATCTCCCACCTTTCCACGCCCTCCCCAGCAACGAGCTCAAGGTGGTGAACATGGTTTTCCTCCCCTCTCCTTCCACCCCCCCAACGACGACACTGTAAAGTAAGTTAAGGCTGAGAGGCAATGACTGACCCAAGGTCACCCGGTGAGTTTCGTGACCGAGTGGGGATTCGAACCCTGGTCTCTCAGGGACTAGTCCGGCACTCTAACCACTACACCACACTGGTTCTCGGGCAGGCATCCTTTGCCTCTCTCCCAGACTGAAAAAAATATATAATTTCATCATGCTCACAGCAGGTGTTGGTACCCTGCGCCCACCTCCTAGGGAATTCCAGTGCTGGTGCTGACCTTTAAAGCCCTAAATGGCCTCGGTCCAGTATACCTGAAGGAGTGTCTCCACCTCCATCGTTCTGCCCGGACACTGAGGTCCAGCGCCAAGGGCCTTCTGGCGGTTCCCTCACTGTAAGAAGCCAAGTTACAGGGAACCATGCAGAGGGCCTTCTCGGTAGTGGCGCCCACCCTGTGGAACGCCCTCCCACCAGATGTGAAAGAGAAAAATACCGTATTTTTTGCTCTATAAGACTCACTTCCCCCTCCTAAAAAGTAAGGAGAAATGTGTGTGCGTCTTATGGAGCGAATGCAGGCCGCGCGGCTATCCCAGAAGCCAGAACAGCAAGAGGGATCGCTGCTTTCGCTGCGCAGCGATCCCACTTGCTGTTCTGGCTTCTGGCATTCAGAATATTTTTTTTCTTGCTTTCCTCCTCCAAAGACTAGGTGCGTCTTGTGGTCTGTTGCGTCTTATAGAGCAAAAAATACGGTGACTACCAAACTTTTAGAAGACATCTAAAAGCAGCCCTGTTTAGGGAAGCTTTTAATGTTTAATAGGTTATTGTATTTTAGTGTTTTGTTGGAAGCCGCCCAGAGTGGCTGGGGGGACCCAGCCAGATGGGCGGGGTATAAATAATAAATATTATTATTATTATTATTCCAGAACCTCTGGCCTTCTATGCTCTTCTTCTCCTTCACTCATCCCCTCTCAAAAGCAACACAAGAGTAAATATTTAGGGCACCCAACCATAAGCTCTTAAAACCATGCAGAGAGAGGACGTGACTAAGCTGATCAGCTGTGTCACTGTGTACTGCCCAGCACATTCCTTTGGGGAGATAAGGAGCATGAAGACACTTGCCTATCAAAGCGCACCGAGGGAGCAGGAGTTTCGCCCTTCGCAGCGTGGGAGCTGACAGCAGAGAGAGCGCCCGAGGAACTCTGCAAGCGGCTCTTCTGGAGGAAGGTTACCGAGAACGAAGAGGCAGAGCTTTCCTGGAAGACGCGTTTGCTGACAGGAGCGCAGCGAGCTCCGCTAAAACAAGGCTTGGTATTTTTAGAGCACTTTCCCTGCATAAGGACTCAGAGCACTTTGCCACGTTTGTAAGCAGTCGTTCCACAGGTGTTGCAACACCTGTACTGTGGAACTTCCTGCCACTTGACTGTTAGTCACTGAACTCTTTCAAAATGACTTTATGTTTCAGCAGGGACTTGGCCACATCTGGTCTTAGAACATATTTAAACATCTAAAGAAAGTTTATTGTTTTAACTGTTTCAATGTTTTAGGTATGTTTTTATTTTATTTTTAATTGTGTGTTTTTTTCAGTTACAGAACTGTTTGTCACCCAGGGGGGCAGATAGGGCTTCTCAACCCGGCAAGGGGGAGGATAAGCCATCCAGGGGAAGGAAACTCTGATCCTAAACCTCTGCTGTCTTTGGGATATCTTTGGGAGACGAAATGAAAGGGCTCAGGAGGATACCGCAGAGGACCTTAAGGTCCATGAATAACCATAGTTTAGAGGTCCTGGGCCCTAAGGAAGTCAGACTTTCCTCCACCAGGGCCAGGGCCTTCTCAGTGATGGCTCCGACCTGGTGGAATGCTCTGTCCCATGAGACCAGGGCCCTGCAGGATTTAACCTCCTTCCGCCGGGCCTGTAAGACAGAGCTATTCCGCCTGGCCTTTAATTTGAATTCAGCCTGATCTTTTATTTCCCTTCTCTTCCTTCCCCCTCCCCTTTTATGAAGATCATCCACTCTGAGACCCCACAGCTAATTCTCCCCTGGCCTCCTCACTGGCCCAAGTAGGACCAATTCAGCCAGCTAGCCCTGGGGATTATCAAATTGATTTTTTATTTTTGAATTTTATTGTTATTCATGTTTTTATACTGTATTTTATGCTGTTTTTATAATTAATTAATAATTAAAGCGGATCTCCTACCAAAAGGCTGATATTAGGGGGAATGTGCGTCAAAATGATTATGCTAGCGTGAACAACATACAGAAATGCATTCTATGTTAGGCAAGGTTACATTAAAAAAAGGCACTGGGGAAATATCCACTAGAAAGCCATGAAAAGAGAAAGAAATTTGCAAGCGCAGAGCTATGGCGAATTGAATTCAAGCCACGCAAAGCTAAACCATGGTTTGGCATAGCGTGTTGACCTAACCTGGGCTTGTGATTTAGGTCTCCTGGATAAACCATGGGCTGCAAACCATAAGAGGAACCTTGGTTAAACCTTAGCCTGCAGAGAGCTAAACCACCAGCCTGGACAATGTGCTAGGCCAAACGATGGCTGAGGTTCAGAGGGGCACAGCAACAAAATGTCTGGGAAGGAGCCAAGCAGATGCAACCGCTTCTCCTACAGCCCACCCTTTCACAACAAACCACGGTTTCCATGTCATCCAGACCAGTGAATACAAGCAAGAGAGAAGATGGGGCAGGAAAGAGAACCGTCAATATTTTAGTTTCACAAACATTTACTAGTTAAATCCTGACATTCTTCCCCTTCTCAAGGAGCAAAGACTTTTAACTCCAAATTGCACAGATCAGGAAAAACAAGATGCACTGGGCAGGATGGGGAAGATGATTATCAAGCTTCGGAATTCCTGAGATTTTTGTTTTGCCTTCTCGTCTCCTCCTCAGATCTCCACCCCACAGATCCCAAAAGATAAAAGGCACCCTTCAGCAGTCAGTGAAGAACTACTAGTGGCACATCCTTCAAAAAGCATCTACAGAGCACTTTTGGGCATACAGTGAGCGCTTTAAGGACTTGTTCCATGGAATTGGTCAGAACCCTGCCAAATAGCCTAAAAGAGCCACTGCCAGTCTGAGCAGACGATGTTGAGCTAAATGGAGCACTGGTCTCACTCAATATAAGGCAGCTGCCAATGTGCCTCTTGATAAGCAAAACACTTTGCCTCCCTGGAAGCTAATAAGTTAGCAAAAATGTATAGAACAAGTACAAACAGCTGCTGGAAATGTAAAGAAAAAGAAGGTACCTTGTATTACATGTGGTGGTCGTGTAAGGTAATAAAAGCTTTCTGGGAGATGATATATAATGAAATGGAAAAAATGTTTAAAATACTTTTTGTTTAAAAAATGGAAGCTTTTCTATTAGGAACTATAGGTACAGAAGTTCAAACGGACCAGAAAAGTCTCTTTATGTATGCGACAGCAGCCGCACGGATGCTACTAGGCCAGGGATGGAAAGAAGAAACAGTCGCTACCAGGGACCAAAGGCAAGCTAAGCTAATGGACTACGCAGAAATGGCAAAGGTGAGTGGAAAGCTCAGGAACAAAGAGGACAAAAAGCTTTTTAAAAGAATGAGAAAAAATTATAATCTATTTAAGAGACCAATGCAAGCAGATGAAAACATTAGCAGGATTTTAATCTCACTTGTAATGTAACAAATATTATGGACAATACGGATTGATATAAAAGATAGATTATAGAATAATGTTGTTGCTTAGTCGTTTATTCGTGTCCGACTCTTCGTGACCCCGTGGACCAGGTTACAGACGCTTCAGGTTACAGACTCCGCTAACCCAGAAATAGTACCTCAGGTTAAGAATTTTGCTTCAGGATGAGAACAGAAATCGTGCTCTGGCAGCGCAGCGGCAGCGGGAGGCCCCATTAGCTAAAGTGGTACCTCAGGTTAAGAACAGTTTCAGGTTAAGAACGGACCTCCAGAACGAATTAAGTTCTTAACCCGAGGTACCACTGTAGTGTCTTGGTTTGAGAACTTTACCTTGGTCTAAGAACGGAACCCGAATGGTGGAAGGGCACCGGCGGCGGGAGGCCTCATTAGGGAAAGCGCGCCTCAGTTTAAGAACAGTTTTGGTTTAAGAACGGACTTCCCGAACGGATTAAGTTCGTAAACCAAGGTACCACTGCATTTGTAAAATCAAATAAAAAGGATTTCATAAAAAAAAGGAAGCTAGCTAGCAGATACAGATGCTGACATTTATTGTACGCTAGCAGGGGTTGGGTTGCCATCTGTCTTGGATGTTTTAGCTGCGATTCCTGCATTGCAGGGGGCTGGATGAAATGACCCTCTGGGTCCCTCCCAACTCTACAACTCTGATTCTATGAAAAACTACTCAAACTCCATCTAGCTATGGATTAATGCACTTTCTACACGGTGGTGTTTGGCCAAAGGAAGAAGGATGGTTATGTAGCAGAGGATGTCAAACAGCAGAGAGACCTTAAATCATGTGATACAAGTAGGCTATAGATCACATGCCGCGAGGATTCGTCAGCATGATGCTAATTAACTAGGGACTAGTTAGACAGGGATATCAAGTCTTTTTGTCTTTTCACTTTCTTGGAGAGGTGGGTGGGCAGGTTGAGTCCCAAGGGGGGCTCTCAGTTCTTGCTCCAGGAACCGCATCAGGGAGGGAGTCTGACTGGGGTTAGTACACCTGTTGAACCGTAATGCAGGTGTTCTAAGGTGAGCTCAGGTAGGGCAGAAACCTCACTTAATCTTGATTTTCAGGGTGAATACAGTGAAAGCAGGGCATTGCATCCTTACTGACTTTTAGGGTTTTGAGCAGGAGGTATTAGCAGTTATCACAGGAATATCATAGCAGACGTCGCTTTTGGATCCTTTGACATCAGCTCTTCTGGTTACAGCGGTACCTCGGAAGTCAAACGGAATCCGTTCCAGAAGTAGATTCGACTTCCAAAACATTCAGAAACCAAGGCCCGGCTTCTAATTGGCTGCAGGAAGCTCCTGCAGCCAATAGGAAGCCCCGTCGGACGTTCAGATTCCAAAAGAATGTTCACAAACTGGAACACTCACTTCCAGGTTTGTGGTGTTCGGAAGCCAGAATGTTCGACTACAAAGGCGTTCGGGATCTAAGGTAGGACTGTACTGTGAAACAGAATGCACCAAGCGTTGGATGGTTCGACCACTAACCATTTTCGCAGCACAAGGCTGAGCAAAAGGCTTGAAGCCACGTTTTGCAGATGCAAACCCACAAGCTGGAGTGAAACTGCCTTGATACAAAGCCCTTTTCATTATTAAGAACAGCAAAAGTGGTTTGATACTACAGTGGTGCCCCGCAAGACGAAATTAATTCGTTCCGCGAGTTTTCTCGTCTTGCGAAGCACGGTTTCAATTTTTTCAAAAACATCTTCAAAAACCTCAAAAAAGGCTACCACACCGTGTGCTATGAGTTGCTCCCCGAAGTCAAGTCGCAACTGCACTTCTTCAAGCAATGCACCCTGTATTACTGTAACGGTTTTAAGAAAAAGGAAACAAACTTGCAAGACGTTTCCGAAGCAAGCCCATAGGGAAATTTGTCTGGCGAAGCAACTCAAAAAATGAAAAAAACTCTTTCGTCTTGTGAGTTTTTCGTCTTGAGAGGCATTCGTCTTGCGAGGTACCACTGTAGCACCGTTTAACCAGCTACAGAAGCAAACCCATGTAAATTTTCCAGCATGAACAAAGATTTTCTTTTCTTTTTTAAGTGCCACACTTAAGTTATTCCTTTTAAAATCTGGTTCAGCCACCAGACAGAAACCACCTTCTGCTTAAACCTGGTGAGCTGTAAAACTGGCAAAATGCACTATATATATTGAGAGAGAGAGAGGGTGGGTTATAGGTATCAAGGCAGAAACCCAGAAGCATTGCAAAAACCCTAATTTGTGAGAGGTACTGCATATAATCCACCCCAGGGCTTGCTGAAACTAAGAAACCTTTTGCTCTTTCCTCTTCCAGAAGGGAGGAGGAACGATCAGCAAGACTTTTGTAGCCAGCGAGATTTTTAGGATGTTTATGCATTTCTTACTGTGTTTGTTCCCAGCCTTCTTATACATAAAGATAAGGCTCCACAGCTACTTTTAAGACATTCCCAAGGTCAGAACAGAATGCCAATTTGCTAGATTCCACAGCCTGCTTACTTACTTTCCTAGGGAGGCTCTATACAGTATTCCCACAGTTTTGCGCGACTTAGCGAAACCACTTTGATGAAATTATATTTTTAAAAAGGTAAAGGACCACTGACAGTTAGGTCCAGTCACAGACGACTCTGGGGTCATCTCGCTTTACAGGCCAAGGGAGCTGGCGTTTGTCCGCAGACAGTTTTCCCGGGTCATGTGGCCAGCAGGACTAAGCCGCTTCTGGCGCAATGGAACACCAAAATCAGAGTAGCGCATGGAAAAGATGTATACCTTCCCGCCTATTTATCTACTTGCACGGGTGTGCTTTTGAACTGCTAGGTTGACAGGAGCTGGGACCAAGCAACGGGAGCTCACCCTGTCGCGGGGATTCAACCCGCCAACCTTCTGATCGGCAACCCCAAGAGGCTCAGTGGTTTAGACCACAGCACCACCCGCATCCCTGAAATTATATAACCCCGGTACAAATGGATTAAATTAGTACCCAATTGCTGGGTGAGAAAGAGCTACAGGTGTCTTGTTTTAGGGTCCAGTGCTCTGGAATTTTCATTGCAGACTCATCTAAAAAAATAATAATCCACAACTTCAGTCCAGATGTGCCCCAAGTGCACCTCTATAGAGATGGAGGTGGGTTAGATCTCCACGTCAAAAGCTGTCAAGCTAGCAGTCATAAATAAGCCCATTCCGTCAAGCAGTGTTTGAAATCCCCCCAGGTACCAGGTGCATTTTGCGAATGGCGTGGGTCCAGTTCCAACCACATGGAGATCTCTAGATGCCAGGTTGGAAATTGACATCTTCATCTGGCTGACCCCTCCAGCTTTCTTAACCTTAACCTTAACCCTAATCCTAAACAGAATATCTTATTTACTGCATTTAAAGGTAAAGGGTGAAGGGACCCCTGACCATTAGGTCCAGTCGTGGCCGACTCTGGGGTTGCGGCGCTCATCTCGCTTTATTGGCCGAGGGAGCCGGCGTACAGCTTCCGGGTCATGTGGCCAGCAGGACTAAGCCGCTTCTGGCAAACCAGAGCAGCGCGCGGAAACGCCGTTTACCTTCCCGCCAGAGAATTTATCTACTTGCACTTTGACGTGCTTTCGAACTGCTAGGTTGGCAGGAGCAGGGACCAAGCAACAGGAGCTCACCCCATCACAGGGATTCAAACCGCCGACCTTCTGATCGGCAAGTCCTAGGCTCTGTGGTTTAACCCACAAGCGCCAAATCGCGCCGTGCACCTGTGTAGATATGGCGCTTCAAGTTGCGCCATTTTCAGGTTGCGAACGGGCCTCCGGAATGGATCCTGTTCGCAACCAGAGGTACCAGTGTAATGTCATCTCAGGTTTTGGGTTTTTTTTAATCAAGTTTCTAGGCCATAAGGAATTGTTTTTCCACCTCTTCCCAAAATGCACTGGACAATGCCTGGCGAAACCTCAGTCAGGGCTCTGAATCTATGCAGATTTCTAGGCAAGAGGGAGAGGTTTCTGAGAGCACCAGGATAGCCCTTTCCTTGCAGGAGCAAATGTTTCAGCAGTTTTTAAACCCGGAAGTCTGGTGCAGGAAGAAAGGGAGAGAAAAGGATTGTCCAGGGACTCAGTCCAGAGCCTAGGAACTGCTAACAACTCCAGGAAAGGCCGGCACTTACAGGAACCCAGACAGAAGGATACAGCAGGTGAGCCACCTTGGCTGACCGCCCTTCAGCAAATCTCTTTCACACCTCCAGGAGCTGCAGCAGGAAAAACCACTTGGCAGATGGGGGGAGGGGGGGGCAGGGAGAAAGAGAGAAAGTGACAGGCTGAGGGGGAAGCCAGGAAAACATAAACATAACCTACTTAGGAGATGCAAAGTAGGTTTCTGGGACCAAAACAGCAGAAGCACAACGCTACGCAATCATCTGCTACGCTAGCAGAGAACAAGGGTTTCCTGGAAACAGGAGAGACAAAGGCTGCTCCAGCTGCTGGGGACACGCTGCAGTCGTACACTCCTAGAATCATAGAATTGGAAGGGACCTCCAAAGGTTGTCTAGTCCAACCCCCTGCAATGCACTCAACCTAGATCATGGGTAGGCAAACTAAGGCCCAGATCCGGCCCAATCGCCTTCTAAATCTGGCCCACAGAGGATCCGGAAATCAGCGTGTTTTTACATGAGTAGAATGTGTGCTTTTATTTAAAATGCATCTCTGGGTTATTTGTGGGGCATAGGAATTCGTTCATTCCCCCCCCAAAAAAAATCTATATAGTCCGCGCTCCCCCAGGTCTGAGGGACAATGGACCAGCCCATGGCTGAAAAAGTTTGCTGAGCCCTGACCTAGATGGATGAGTTTCTGGGTCATCATTGATAGTCAGGAAGAAATGAAGGCAACTCACAATTCCCTAAAAGCCAGGACCTCTGTAGCCTTTGAACCAGCTCCTACCACCACCCCTAACTGAAACTGTGTGCCTCTTTCACGAGAGGTCCAGAAGGCAGCAACACAAGAAAGGGGCTTTTCTGCAGTGGCTCCCCATTTGTGGGGACCGCCTCTCCTGGTATGCCCCACAGAGGACCTTATGGTCTTCAAACAAAAACATCTTGGAGGTCCCAGGCCACAGGGAGGTTAGGCTGGCCTCAACCAGAGCCAGGGCTTTTTCGGCTGTGGCCCCGATCGGGTGCAACGCTCTGTCCCAAGAGACCAAGGCCCTGTGGGACTTGACATCTTTCCGCAGGGCCTGCAAGACAGAGCTGTTCCACCAGGCCTTTGGCCAAGGCACAGTCTGACCCCCTCCTTTAGTAATCCTCATAGTACTCTAGCCATTAATTTGATTTTGAATTGATTTTAGAATGAATTGATTTTAGAATGTATGTCAATTAATTGAATGTGATTTTATGTAAACTGTGTTATTTTCACTGTTGTTAGCCGCTCTGAGCCCGGCTTCAGCTGGGGAGGGCAGGATATACATAAAATATTATTATTATTATTATTATTCTACACCTTTAGGCCTCTTTAACAAGGCCTTTGACATCCAATGCACATTTAAAATGTGTTGGGGAGGGGGGATTATTGATTTGCTTTTGTTTTGGTTTTTATTATGTATTTTGTGTTTTTATATTGTGATTTTACATTGCAGCCGCCCTGAGACCTGCAGGTTTGGGCGGTATGCAAATAAATAATGATAACGGTAACAATAATTTTCAATCCAAAACAAACACAGAAATGTGGAGAACTGAATTTACAACTCGAAAGCTGAGAAACCAAGAGAGTGAAGATGGACAAATCCATTCATCTCTACTCTGAATACCAGGTTCTACAATTCCGAAGTGGGGAGGGTGCAGTTGGGCTTAGGGGTCCTGCTGGAGGGTTTGCTAAAGACGTGGGGCTGTGAGAACAAGTTGCTGGACTGATCCCTCAGGGCTGCTTTTATGTTCACATCTATTAGGTATTATTTATTTTAATGAATCAACTGCCACAAAGTGTTAGCCAGCATTGTGTTTTTCCGCAGCATGTGATGTCCGCAAACATTCGTCCCCCAAAATAGGATACAGTCATACCTTGGGTTACAGCTGCTTCAGGTTGCGTTTTTTCGGGTTGCGGACCGCCAAAACCTGGAAGTACCAGAACGGGTTACTTCCGGGTTTCGGCGGTTGCGCATGCGCAAAGCGCAATTTAGAAGCACCGAATCGCAACGCGCACGTGTACAGACGTGCAGACACAGGTTGCGAACGTGCATCCCGCACGGATCACGTCCGCAACCCAAGCGTCCACTGTATTTCCCTGTGGACACAACTGCTTCCATACCATCTTCCAGTCCTACATTTTGCAAGTTGTATGTCTCTGTACGCAAGTGTCGTTCTCTCTCTCTCAGACACACAGACACACACACACACACACACACACACACACACACACACAACAAGGCCAGTTTGAGATCCAGGTTTGCTTTCACTTCTGTGATAAGCCGTGGCACTGAAGAGTTATTTTTAGTCCCTGCAGAACTGATTAAGTCGCTGCTTGAAAGGCCCACCCCGTTCCCAGCCGAGCTTCTCCCGCTATCAAAAAAAGAAAGGTTGCCACATTTTCAGAAAGGCGGAAGGCGGAGGCGGCAATAGCTCCCGTGAACAGACCGTAAATACAAGCTACTTCAAGGAGAACACCGTGTGTCATTTCAAAGGCAGCCTCTGATCTTGGAAGCCCACTGCATTTTTAAAAATAGCAATAAAAACTTGGGAGCATCGCTTGTAAAATAGCTGAATAACTACACACCTGCAAGTGTTGGTCCTGACCCAGCAAGGTGTTGTGCACATGTCAAGTTTCCTTTATCCCACCCTTCCAACTCATGGTCGGACCAGTTCTGGGCTGCTGCATGCTTAGCTCAGCTACTTGGGGGACCCAGAAGATGACAAATTCTGAGAAGCTACAGGAACAGCAGTCTAGGAGAGCATACTCTGATCCAGAGCATGGAAACACATGGAAACACAGCCTGGGTCCAGTATACCTGAAGGAGCGTCTCCGCCCCCATCGTTCTGCCCAGACACTGAGGTCCAGCGCCGAGGGCCTACTGGCAGTTCCCTCACTGTGAGATATGAGGTTACAGGGAATCAGGCAGAGGGCCTTCTCGGTAGTGGCACCCGCCCTGTGGAACACCCTCCCACCAGATGTCAAAGAGAACAACAACCACCAGACTTTTAGAAGGCATCTGAAGGCAGCCCTGTTTAGGGAAGCTTTTATTGTTTAACAGAAGGAGGAGGAGGAGGAGAAGGAGAAGGAGAAGGAGAAGAAGAAGAAGAAGAAGAGTAGTTTAGATGTGATATCCCGCTTTACCACTACCCTAAGGAGTCTCAAAGCGGCTAACAATCTCCTTTCCCTTCCTCCCTCACAACAAACACTCTGTGGGCTGAGTGACTTCAAAGAAGTGTGACTAGCCCAAGGTCACCCAGCAGCTGCATGTGGAGGAGCGGGGAAGTGAACCCGGTTCACCAGATTATGAGTCCACCACTCTTAACCACTATACCACACTACACCACACACAAAATACAGACCATTGTATTTTAATATTTTGGTGGAAGCCACCCAGAGTGGCTGGGGAAACCCAGCCAGATGGGCAAGGTATAAATAAATAATAATAATTATTATTATCATTATTATTATTATTATTATTAAATTTATATACTGTACTATATCCAATGATCCCAGGGCGGTGCACAACATTAAGAATATATTTTATGGAGCATAATAATAAAAACATAATTCAGTCGTACCTTGGTTCTCGAACACCTTAGTACTCCAACGTGTTGGCTCCTGAACGCCAAAAACCCAAAAGAAAGTGTTACAGTTTTCAAACGTTTTTCGGACGCCGAACGTCTGACACAGCTTCCACTTGAGTGCAGGAAGCTCCTGCAGCCAATCGGAAGCCACACCTTGGTTTTCGAACATTTTGGAAGTCGAATGGACTTCTGGAACGGATTACGTTCGAGAACCAAGGTACAACTGTACAGAGCATGATAATAGACAGAGTCAACCAGGGGTAGTAAGCAAGTGTAGTGGTTAGAGTGTCGGACTAGGACCTGAGAGAAACCA